ATATATATATATATATATATATATATATATGTGTGTGTGTGTGTGTGTTTGTGTATTCAAAAACTTAACAAAATTAAATGATGTTAACTATTTTTTAAAAAACTGTGATATCATTTTTTTACTAATAATTTTGTCTAGAAGAGTAGTGTATATATATGGTAGAAGAAAATACTTACATGAAAGAAGAGTACCGTGAAAATATTTGATATAATTAAGATTTATAATGGTTGGTTATCGATTTAGATCGAAACAAATCTATTTTGGTCTAAAGGACGTCTAGGATTTATTATAGGCGAGTCACCAAAGTCAGAGTATTCAAGAGTGTAATTTATCTTTGTCTGTCCTGGGGTTAAAGTATTTATAGTTACTTTTTCGTGGGCCTCCTAGATCCCGAGAATCTTGAGATTTTATATGGTGGTTTTAGTGTTGAGATTTTGATCATTAAGGATAAAATCTTATTCTTGATTTAGATCCTTATTACATAATTATTCTGACCTCCTCTACTAGGGTATAGGAGTTGCCTTTTTTCCAATCCCCTAGTGTCCCTAAGTTGTCATTCCTTCAACATAATTGGCCATTACTCTCGCCAAAGTCTCTCGTCTAGAACCTCTTGGAAATCTCATCTCGAAACTTGTTTGGGATGGTACACTTGTCCACCAGTCCTAAGCTTGTAAGGTGCGAAGACTCTAGCAGTAGCTATTCTGCTTGAGGCTTCTATTAGGAAAATTATTTTGGAATCATATCGAAATAACACTTTTTTGGCCAAAATCTCTCGTTTAGAGCCTCTTGACGATCCCATCTCGAAATTTATCCAGAATGATACAAAATCATTTTCAAATATCGGAGCATAGCATGTGTTCACATAGGAATTTTTAGTTAAACAAATGTTGTGGTGTAGTGTATCAACATCAGCATACAGGGTAACTTGGGTTTTGTGGACTTCATAGGGTAACTTGGGTTTTTGAACTTTTATTAGTTTAATATTTTTTTGGTAATTAGACCAATGACTAGGCCGTTTTAAAAGTTATATTCATGGGCCTAAGTTCCTCGCTAAATAAGCACTAGCTTTAGCGACGAATTTGCGAGGAGATGAAGGTTGGTCGCAAAATGGTCCTATTTAGCAAGGGAATTTAACGAGGGATATAAATTCAAGCTATTTCCTCGCTAATTAGCGAGGGATTAGAGAGGAATTGTATTCCTCGCCAGTCCCTCGCTAATTAGCGAGGAAATAGCTTGGATTTATATCCCTCGCTAATC